CCCACAAAAAACCCTAAACCCTAAACCCTAAACCCTAAACCCTAAACCCTAAACCCTAAACCCTAAGCCCTAAACCCTAAACCCTAAACCCTAAACCCTAAACCCTAAACCCTAAACCCTAAACCCTAAACCCCAAACCCTAAACCCTACGGAGGAAGGCATGGGATGGTCGACTGCCAACGCGGCCTGGTACGTGGCGCTGATCATGCTCGTCTCCGGGGTGGTGAACCTGCACCTTCCGCTCGATTAGAGTTTCGGGGTTTTAGGGTTTAGGGTTTAGGGTTTCGGGTTTAGGGTTTCGGGTTTCGGGTGTAGGGTTTCGGGTTTAGGGTTTCGGGTTTAGGGTTCGTGTTTGGGGTTTGAGTTCCTTTAGTGGGGTTTACGGTGTTTTAGTGGGGTTTAGGGTTTATAGGGTTTATAGCGTTTGGGGTTTAGTTTTTTTTTTTTGAGCTAGGGTCTTTTTTGTGGGGTTTAGGGGTTGTGCGGTTGAGGGTGTATAGGGTTTAGGGTTTGGAGGCTTTAAGTGTTTGGGGTTTCGGGTGTCGGGCTCTTTTGGGGGCTTCGAGCTTTGGGCCTTTGAGGGTTTAGGGTTTGGAATTTAGAATTGAGGGTAACACAATTCTCGCCATGCGGGTTCGCTGTTCTTCAGCCGAGGCCTCGCCCCCAACCCCAAGCTAACCCCAAACCCCGAACCGCATGTGGAAACTCTGAACCCAGACCGCTGAACCCTAAGCCCCAAACCCCAAACCCCAAACCCCAAACCCCAAACCCCAAACCCCAAACCCCAAACCCCAAACCCCAAACCCCAAACCCCAAACCCCAAAACCCAAAACCCAAAACCCGAACCCCAAACCAAACCCCAAACCCAAACCCCCCGACCCTAAACCCCTAACCCCTAACCCCTAAACCCTAAACCCTGCAGAGCCGGCCCAGGAGCCTTGGCAAGATCATCCACTTCATGTCGTGCAGTGACGTGGTGGGCCTCTTGGGCTGCACGTTGGGAGAGGATTGGTTGTGATGGAATTTCACCGGGGTTTAGGGTTTAGGGTTTCGGGTTTAGGGTTTAGGTTTTAGGGTTTAGGGTTAGGGTTTAGGGTTTAGGGTTTAGGGTTTAGGGTTTAGGGTTTAGGGTTTAGGGTTTAGGGTTTAGGGTTTAGGGTTTAGGGTTTAGGGTTTAGGGTTTAGGGTTTAGGGTTTAGGTCTCAGGGTTTAGGGTTTAGGGTTTAGGGTTCAAGGCTTAGGCCTCTACGTGCCCTCAGTCCCAGAGCCTGAGAAGTGTAGGGTGCAGGGTCTCCCCCCACAAACCCTAAACCCTAAACCCTAAACCCTAAACCCTAAACCCTGAACCCTAAACCCTAAACCCTAAACCCTGAACCCTGAACCCTGAGCCCTAAACTTTAAAACCCTAAACCACGCACCCCAAGGACTGTTGGCGGGCGAAGTATTAGCCTGCGTGGGCTGCCTGCTCCTTGGTAGCCTAGTGGCGCCCTTCTTTTTTTGGGTTCGAGGTTCCATTAGTAAACCCTAAACCCTAAACCCTAAACCCTAAACCCTAAACCCTAAACCCTAAACCCTAAACCCTAAACCCTAAACCCTAAACCCTAAACCCTAAACCCTAAACCCTAAACCCTAAACCATAAAACCCTAAACCATAAAACCCTAAACCCTAAACCCTAAACCCTAAACCCTAAACCCTAAACCCTAAACCCTAAACCCTAAACCCTAAACCCTAAACCCTAAACCCTAAACCCGGAGAGGGTACCCTTGTTTTGATACGGCTACTGGGCTACCAAGGTTCTTGTTCAACTTCGACGTGGACTCCCCCACCGTTCGGGTGTCGCTGCTGACAGTCGGCCTCTTGGCCGGCCGAAGCCCCAAAACCCGCAACCCGCAGCCCTAAACCCTAAACCCTAAACCCTAAACCCTAAACCCTAAACCCTAAACCCTAAACCCTAAACCCTAAACCCTAAACCCTAAACCCCAAACCCCAAATCCTCAACCCCGAACCCAGGCTGTGAGACTTCTTTCTTACTCGGTCTCAGCCTTATGAAACTCCCTATGAGATGTCATAGTGACCTCCTCCCCTAACCTTAAACCCTAAGCCCTAAACCCCAAACCCCAAGCCCAAACCCTAAACCCTAAACCCTGAACCCTGAACCCTCAACCCTAAACCCTAAACCCTAAACCCTAAACCCTCATTTCCGACTTGAGGCTTGGTGTTGGCGCTCCTCACGCAGAGCTTCGCCAGGGCTTTGGCCTTAAGCATCTGCTCGAAGATCGTGCCCCCCGAGTCCATCAACACCATC